CCTATAATTGCAGCGCAGAATAGATCAAAGATGTTAACAACATGTGTCATCAGGCACGCCTTGATTTTCAATTTTTCTATCTATTAAATTCGAGGCCAAGTCACTCAACAAAATCCATCCCCGAAGCTAAAGACCATGATCATTGAAATGCCCGTACCAACACCTAATGTCCAGGAGCTGATGGTGTAGTTTTGTTAATCCGAATCGCATTTCCTGTCTAACATAAATTCAAGCAATATGGGGGACGCACAAAGTGAAGCAGGATACACGCCTTCTGCGCCTCCAGAGATTAACAGTCTATACTCTGGGCCATCCATAGCTGAAAAAGTGACAGTGCCATCATACCAATATTTTCCAGCAGAGCTCCTTGCTCAGATATTCGCATATCTTGTGGAAGAAGTCTTGGTGCCCCCAGTCATGAATCAAAGTCTCTGGTGTCTTGGACGAGTTTGTTCATGGTGGCGATCGGTTTCTCGTGGCAACCGACGTTTGTGGGGATGCCCAAAGATAGACCTGGAAGATATGCCCGCCGAAGATCTGGAGTCCATTCTTCCTCTGTTCCCTTCTGCAACCCATTTTACCCTTATCTGCACCCCTTACTGCAGGATCTCTGATATCCGTGCGTATTTGCATCGGTGCGAAGCTCTCGAATATGATGGGGACATAAAATATTTCGACCGACTTCTCAAGTCCACTTCACCGGACTCCTTTCGCAACCTTCGCAGTGCCCTGATTGACCTTAGGACTCGTGGCAATGTAACGGCGACTTCTGACAAATCTTGGACCTTCAGGCGCGCATTGCTTCCAGCATCCAGTCAACTTCGCCAACTTGATCTCATTGCAGCCATCAATGTCACCGCCGATATCCTGGCCTCCCTAGGCCTACCATGGTCGCAATTAAAAGCTCTTCGATTGGATGTCAAGTTGAATCTGAACGAGTTGCATAGCTTCCTCGGACAATGCACCGCTGTTCACGATCTCTGCGTCTTTATCGATCAGACACACGCTCTTGGTGATCTCCAGGATCCCAATCTAGAGCTCCATCTTCCCGACCTGCAGCGACTGGAGCTATTTGGTGTAGGGATGACTAAATTTATCCCATTGATACACAATTGGCAGCCAATCACACATCTTCGTTTAACGGGTGGCAATATTCCAGCTGCTCAGTTGCATGGCATTCTCGAGCAGTCGAAGCATCTGGAGGAGTTAATGGTCCTCCTTCCCCCATCCTTCCCTTTTAGCGCCATCCGTCTTCCAGTTCTCCACTCACTGAGGATCGTGAATAGAATTGACTCTTCAGAACCTTTGCGGAATTTCATTCTTCCACGCTTGGATCGACTGTATATATTTTTGCTACTAGACCTTGTGGGTGTCCATGAGATGCTCGTCGCATCTCAATGTTTCCCTTCGTCTCTCTCTGTACGACTCAGGTCAGGAACTTCAGCCCAGTTCCTTCGCGCATTCTTCGCAGCTGCTCCAAAAGTATCTACGCTTGATACCGGAAGAGCGATCCTCGACGCATACATTCTGCACGACATCGGCGCAGGCCTGCTCCTTCCGCATTTAACATCTCTAACTGGTTCATTCGATTCCGTCGATGCCGTTTTGGCCATGATATCAGCTCGTCTGGCTCACGATCCCAATTTCTGGGACAATCACGGCTTTAACTTGGTGATTGATGAATTGTCGGAGGTACAGAACGACGGCATAAAAAAGCTTTGTCTCTCGCACAGCATACGATGCGACATAGTTCCTCTTGACTCCTTTGGGCCCAGGAATCCTTGGGCAGTAATCATAGGCAAAAAGACAAGTACGCAGCAATAGTAATAGAGTACATGCATGTTGGTCCGTGCGGAAGTCATGTGATATGACCTCACCACACCAATTTGAATCAGCCGCACAAATCGACCATCCCAGAGTTTCTTGCGACTCGGACGATCCTCTATGTTTGCCTCAAGTATGCCCTCCGCGAAGAGATACAAGAGTGCTGGTACATATATTGTCGGTGTCAAGCCTGGGGTCAATATTCGCGCCTTTCTCGACGGCTTAACGATCTCTCCTATGGATGTATGGGATAAACGTTTTGAAGGTAAGCCATGGCAATAGTTGTCTCAGAGCTTGCTGATGCATAACGTAGCGGAATTGCAACCCTCTCAGCTTGAAATCCTGTACAATCAGCCCGAAGTACAGACAATCGAGCCGGATGATTTCATTTACATTGATCTTCCTCGGTCAGTCTGTTATCTATGTTCTTTGATATCGTTGCATACAATCTGACGGGATACATAGGCCAGAGCTGCCACCTAGCGTTAATCCCCTTGGTGGACCACACGACGTCTATCTCGAACCCGGTTTCGATATCAACGAATTCCTGAAGGATACGCAGATTAACGGAGACGTTCAAGTTATAGGCCCCACGCATTTCTTTGTCGGTAAGGCGCCTATCTGGGGGTTATAAGATCTTCATTCGAGTTGCTCATTTTCATTAATTTCATTCATAGCCTATCTGAGCCCAGAAAAACTGTGGGAGTTAACGGACAATCCACGCGTCTTCTTTATCAAATATAAACCCCCATATAACCACCAGCGTATAGCCCTGCCAGATGGGCTCTTCCTCGAATTCATGCAGGAAAAGGAAAATTACGACTAGGACCCTTCGCCAGACTGTACGAACGAGTCTCGGATCAGACTGGCTGCGTCTTAGGATCACCAACGCTTTTGGTGGCAGCAATCTACCCATTACTGCTGTCTCTCTCGCCCTCCCTGTCAACGGAACTGCTGGAGTCTCTGCTATCCAAGGCTCCCCGTCTTTGGAGCTACGATCACACCCATGACTGGCGATGGACAAGTTTACGGAACGCCAGAGAGGGAGGTCACGAGGCAGAGGGTGAACTGGATTAGGACCAGCGGCACTTTCGACGCCGTGTTTGATTTCGACAAGCTTTTGGCTGATCCTGCGAACCCCGCGCAGTTGCTCCCACAGTACGACTCCGGAGATCATTTACATCCCAATGTCGCGGCGTACGAGGTTATGGTGGCATCGATCCCGTTGGAGTTGTTCTCGAGGAATTGGGAGGTTGAGACTGGCGGTTTCGCTCCACCTGGTGCTCAGCAGCAGCATTTTTAATCCTTTTGGGTTCCGGAGTCTAACTTGTTGAAAATGTGAGTGCTACCCACCCACCGAGACTGAGCTAGTTTGACGGATATATTTTCATCTTGTTCAGGCCATCTTGGAGCGACAGCGCTGGTTTTGAGGGATAGGCGGAAAATATGTCGACTATCTTATGTACTTCGACTTTAACTCTGTAACAGATGTATATGGTCCAAATCATACATTCTAAAATTAAAAGTTCTTCGATTCAATGTCGTATTGAATCTGAACGAGTTTCATAGCTTCCTCGGACAATGCATGGCTGTTCATAATCTCTGCGTCTTTATCCATCATACACACTCTCCTGGTGGATCTCCAGGATCCCAATCCAGAACTCAATCTTCCCGACCTTCAGCGACTGGGACTATATGGTGTAGGAATGCCTAAATTTATCCCATTGATACGAAATTGGCACCAGCTCACGCATCTTGGTTGGAAGGAGGAGGCCGGCGCCGATGACGTGCAGAATAGATGCATCAAGGATCGCTCTTCCGGTTGATACTTTTGGAACAGCTGCGAAGAATGCGCGAAGGGACTGTGCAAGGTCCAGACCTTAGCCATACAGAGAGAGACGAAGGGAAACATTGAATTGTGACGAGCATCTCATGGACACGTACAAGGCCTGGTAGCAGATCTACTGTAAGTATATATCCAGTTGATCCAAGCATGGAAGAACGAAATTTTTCAGAGGTTCTGAAGAGTCGATTCTATTCACGATCCTAGTCGCTCTAAAAGGGAAGGATGGAGGAAGGAGGACGATTGAATCCTCCAGATGCTTCGACTCTTCGAGAACTGGTGCATTCAATTCTCTCGATGCCGTTTTGGCCATGATGTCAGCTCGTCTGGCTCACGATCGATCCCAATTTCTGGGACGATCACGACTTTAACCTGATGAATTGTCGGAGGTACAGGACGACGGCATAAAAAAGCTTTGTCTCTCGCACAGCATACGATGTGACATCCTTTGGGCCCAGGAGTCCTTGGGCAGTAATCATAGGCCAAGATACAAGTACGCAGCAATAGTAATAGAGTACATGCATGTTGTCTGGGATAATAAAATGCAGAATATTGATCACTGAACTCGTTGCTTTGATAGTGATTCAAGGGAGGGAGCAAAAACAAACGAGCAACCGTTCAATGCATTAAGGGGGAATCGAACCCCCGGCGGGTCGAGCTTAATAACGATGGCAACGACCCAGGTTACCACTACCCCATTAATGCTCATCGTATAATCTTATTGGGCTCTTCAACAGTCCCAAGGATGACAGCCCACAGAAGAAAGAAGTTATACACGTCCTACATAGTCCAGTGCAATTTAAAGTTGATATTATGAATACTTTTGTGGTGTCCTTCATCAAATCCCAAACCTCCACCGAAATTTTCTGAACCCGTCCCTATCTTTCTCTCCCAGGTACTGAAGCCTCACCATACCTCGCGCGACCGTAACATCTATCCTGTCTCCATCCCAACCTTGTTTATCTCTGCTCCACCCCCCAACCTCACCAACGAAGTAACTGCGCGCGTCGGCCGTCTCGTTCATGATACACGAGTGCTTGAAGAAGCCTCGTGAGAGGGAAATATGCGTGTCGAGGTCTCCTGCGCTAACTGCAATTGTGACAAGCCCATGGAAGGAAGCTGGTATGTGAATGGCATGGTACCCATCGGTTCCCGATGCCGTCAGATGAAAAGGCGGCCGAGGAAGCTCAGGAGTGTGCTGTCAGGAAGTGGCGTCAGCTAACCCTGCCACGTTATAACGTCCAACTGGACATCGTAAGTCCTCCTATCGTACTCACAACTTTTGCGATAAGGGGAAACGTGGTAGCCTCCCCTTTGATCTTGAGGTCAAGCGTCGTTCGGAAGAACGAATCGTCAACGAATGGCACTGGCTCGCCGACAAGGAAAATGTTGACGTCAATCCCACCGTTTTCGACGTCGAACTTAAGGTTCTTACGATGCCTGCTCGTGTCATCTCGTATTGTCGAAGGTAGACAGGCTAACGATAATAGAGCTGTCGGAACGTGTAGGTAGGGGTTCACTGTATAGTTGCCTATGATAGAGGTGTTGGTGCGAGAAAAGACGAGGGTTCGCCTTTTGCTGGTGCTTTTTCTGGACAGAGAAACGTAGTTTGTGGGATTGGGCCGCATAGTCACCTGAGTAGACGCTGTTTGTGCCAAAGACGATGGAATGGAATTTGACATTGGCTCAGCGGGACCAGGGAGGCTGACCCTTGAACCACGTACGTAATGATATCGCAGCGTGCTAGAACCGCTCGGGGGAAGTGAAGCATGTCGCCGACGAGGGGTACTTTCGGGCTCTGCCTCTGGCTCTGGACGGGGAAGTTGAACCAATGAATGTCGTGGCATGTTACTGATGTTCGAGAGTCTGAGTGGAGAGGGCGAAGACTGCGATCGAGGTGAGTGCATATCTTCATTCGAACCGCTGAATGAATCTCCAGGCGAATCGCAGTACTGGGACGAGTAGACCGGGGGTGAAAATGGGCGTTCAGCTGGCGAAGATTCCATGGTGGGCTTTGAAGGTGGGCACGCTGGCACAAGGTGAAATGAGACCACGCAATAACTGTCTACAAGTTGACGGGTTTGATAAATTGCCATGAGGCTGCAGGCTCAGCTAGGCAAACAGAGCCGAGATCAATCAACGTAAAAGCGCAATTCCCCAGATCTGCCTTTGGTCCTGTCTGGGTCCTGTGGTCGACATACATATGTATACTTACCAAATGGTGTCCAAAGTCTATGGGATGGCACGATGGACGGTGATACTGGAGTTTTAGCGCACTTAAGCGCTCGCCGCTTGCTTTTAGCGATCACATGACTTTTTGCTTTTTCTCTTTCTGAACTCGGTACTCGGTACTCGGGAGTCGCAGCTGAAAGATAGCTGAGTACTAGAACTGTGTCGAACCGTGAGTAAGGCTCCTGTATCTCTATTTTTGCAAACATCATCTCGTTTCAGGCAGTCTGCAGTGGATGTAGGATATTCCTTTAGTGTCGGCGCTAAACGACGATGGTTCGTTGAAGCGCTGACAAAGCCATGCAAATGGACGAAAGAGGTAGACCCGTTCGTTTATCGATAGGACTTTATACTGAATCCTTTTGGCAGCCTAGCGATGAACGTCGTGCAATCGGTCTCTGCCGATACTCCTCTACTGTCTCCTGTATCAACGGAATCACTGGAAGTGGAAGTGGCTCAAACGTCAACTGAGGAGATTAAGGACGTGGTTTACTATCTTGAATTCATCACCTTACTGGTAAGAAATAAAAATTAAACCTGTTCATTGTCCTGAGAACTTGTTTAGGCGGAAGATCGTCTCTTCAAGGTCCCCAAGTATCACTTCGTTCGATATCCAGGGCAATTGGAATGGATGAAGGGGGCTGATGAAGATACGCCTCATAAACTCGAGAACGTTCCCGCGGGAGACCTTCAGGCGCTCTTGAAGCTTATGTATCCCTTGTAGGTTTCGTTCCCCATGCTAACATTTCTGGTTGGAAGTGGATTCTCATGATCAGCCTTCAGGAATAGTCCATCCCAACAGTCGTTTTCGTGTCACGAATGGGCTTCCATCCTCAAGCTTGCATCCCTTTGGATGATGCTCGATTTCAGAAAAAAGGCTATCGAAGCCCTAGCTGATGAGGAATGGCTCAAGAAAATCCTTCTTTCCCGAGAGTGTGCCGTGTTCGCGTGGGTACGTGACGTATATAATCACCTTATACAGCGAAAACAGCCGCTGACCATAGACGAGGCGCGACAGCTTGGTCTTGAAGTTGCAGTGAAGTTATTTGAACTTCGCCTAGGAGACCTGCAACGAAATAATCAAAATGAGCTGCATTATGAGTATTATGGATTTTATCCGAGTGTAACCCCTGAGATGCATACAACCTCCTATGCCCACGTCGTTGACACTGAATTAGCAGGCGAAATTGGCCATAGCACATGTTGCCCTCGAGGTTCCGATGCCGTGGAGAGAATAGTATGGGCTAGGTTGCAAAATAATCCGGACTGGCTTCGACTGGCTTTCATTGACCTGGTAGAGCGCGACACCCCCCTTTCGTTAGAGGAGGCCTTAAAGCTGGGATTTGACACGGCCATCAATGTATGCCGGGCGAGGGAGAAGGCATTACAGTCGCGTTCTTTGCCTTCATACTATCCTAAGACAATCGACGACGTTTTCCGGGACGAATTTTCTAAAGTTAGGGCAAGGAGCGAGTGCTATGCCCCAAAACCTTCCCATTCCCCCTTCGAAGAAACTAGTGCCTGTGATGCATCAGGGGAGATGGTAAAGAGGTAGGCAAGCCCGGTGGCGGCAGATATGAGCAAAAAGAACGGGAAGGTAAAGAAGTGGAAGGTGAAGGGGAAGGGAAAAAAATAAAGGTGACGAATGCATGGCGAAGCCGTAGGCCTTCTTAGTAAATTTGTCATTCCAGATTGAGAATGGAGCGTCAATGAATCAATGAACCGACTTTGATTTTTAGAACTGAGCTGCTTCAGACTTGATAAAACAAAGTGATTCAAGAACGGTACTATATCACAACTAGTGGTAATCAGAAATCAGTCTTTCGAACGCGTGTGCGCCGCAGGGGCATCTTCACGAACAAGAGTGTGCTCAGCAGGAGCATGGTCAGAGGCGTCAGACTTTTTGGGACGGCCTTTCTTTTTCGCCAATGTCGAGCCCTCCTCGTGTCGCATGCTAGTATCGACATCCCTCTCATCGCCTCCTTCAGCAGTTTTGTGCCCCTCTTCAGGTTTCTTGGCCTTGGAACCCTTTCGTGGTCGTCCGGGACCCTTCTTCTCGCCACTAGCCTCCACATCCCTCGTGGTTTTAGTCTTCTTTGTCTTCTTCTCCGCTGCTTCATCTGTGTCATCTTGAAACACCTCTTCCGCGACCCGCTTCTCTCCAGTTGTTGCAGAAGCCGCGCTTGACTTCCTACGACCTCGACCTTTCTTTGGCGCCGCTTTATCATTGGCCTCTTTTTCTTTCGCTTCACCGGCAGCATCTTGGTCAGCTGTTTCCTGCGTAGCGGGCGCTTCTGTTTTATTCTGGGAGATAGACGCCTCGGTGGATTCACCCTCCACTGGGTTCAGCTTTTTGAGCTCGCTAGCACGCTTTACGACATCGTTTCCGGAGCGTTCGACATGGACAGCAGGGTTCGAAGGATCCGCGTTCTTGTGAACAAGTTTACCCTTGGACTCGATCTCGAGCTGCCCCGAATTTCTGACTTCGGCTATGATACCCGTGGGTTCAGATGTACCCCACTTCCAAGATACTGGCGATTTAAATATGAAGGATCAGTGGTTCGTTCATAGAATCGTATCTACGTACCTTCATCCCCTTCTTGAAAGATTACGTCTGTCATAGGTCCAGGAGATGTGCGTATGGGCGGACTGATGTAAGGGAAGCAAGGGGAGCCTAGGTTTTAAAAAGAGGTCCAGAATAGTGCTCCAGGGGTCTAAGACATGAAATGTCGTCACAGATTACAAGTAAATCCACTAGGAGTCATTCATCGACTTATAGAGAAGGACCTTGAGCCTTATAAGCATAAAGAACACGGTGGTAAAGTCGCAGATGATTAAGCATTCGAAGGAAGTCAACCAGCACCAACATTGGGATCGACGGGGGTTGTGCGCTGAGAACTATTGATGGCTGGTGTTTATTTGACATTTTTTCGAATGAGTTTGCCAAACAAACGTCATGTCTGTCGTGGATGGATTTGGATGTCTACTACTCTTTCAATTGGGACCTTAGTTCATCATTGTAAACGAGATCCTTTGAATTCGAATCCGTGAAACTCCTTGTTCCGTCATCAAAATTGTACAACTTAATCAGCCGTCAAAAAACCAGTGCGTACTCTGTTGAAGAAAGTCGCGTGGTGCGTACCCTTACGATTTAGCACACCTAGCGCAAACACGAGGGCACGTCAGATCCTTCCGGAACAGCAGTTCAACCACGCTTGTCATTTATGTGTGCTGAATTGCTACCTGCAGATCTAATCGAGCGTTTGTGTTCTCAGCGCTCGTTCAGCCAGCCACTAAGGATCTGCGCTAAAAAGAAAGTTGGATAAAAATGACTGTGAGACTATGTAGAGTAAAAATATTGCCTCGTTTCAGTGAGTCTTTTGCGCTACTTGAGAGCACTTTACTGATAAAATTGAAGGTATGTATATTACACCTGTCAGTCGAGATGTGTTCCTGTTTTCTTATCATAGGGCGTC